TGGAAACGTAATTCACTGTTTTTAAGACAATGAATTACGTTTCCAAAAGAGGGAGAATGTAAACTCCCACAATGTCAATAGTCCATCGGAATTACAGAACCGACCCCATAGCTACATCCAGCATGATACTCCGACACGAATAAGCCAAAAGATTAAAAGAAAAATAAAACTCAAATGCTTTATGAAGTTGGTGCCCACTCACACGTTTTGAATTCAATGCCCCTTTTATTGAAGTATATAGCATAGTAACAGATTCATTTTTTCAACAACTAGCAGAGTGTTGAGACAAACAAATATGCTATATTTAAATGCTGTGCATTCATGAACTAAATTTACTCTAATTCATACAACATCTATACTCATGCATCATACAGAATAATGTATCATTTCTAGATCACCAATCATAATTTAGCGGGGTCAAGCAAAAGGATCTGACAGTGACCTGAGATCGAAGGTTTTCTGTCTTATCCACCAGAAGCTCAATCTTCTCTCCACGATCAAGAACCTGTTAAAAGAACAATTAGGAAATAGACACAATATTTGCATATCCATCAACATAAAATACAATCGAAAATTAAATCAGATAAAATGTTATAAGAACAGAGGAAGGCATTTCCCTAAATTTGAAGATCGAAAGGAAAGGAGGAATGTAATGGCCGTAGGTAGTAGGCGGTGGACAACAAAATTTATTTTACCTTCTCAATGTTCTCCATCATTACTCCTTTGACTTCAGAAACCTGTGCTTTCACTTTGGCAAGCTTACTGATCTCCTCTGGGTGCTCCACACAATACTGCATATGCTCCTTCAGTTTAGACCTATATAAAAATTATAGTTATTGGAATCGAAATCCTGGTAATGCTACATGCATTTTTACATATATATAGTGTTAGATAAGAAATAAAGGGGAATTTATTTAATAATTCCCAGGCCCGTACCCAAATTCTTTGTTCAGGCTATTGGCAGTTGCTGTCATGGCCTTCCCACCTCCATATCTCTTCACGAAATCCTCACATACTCGTTCAAGGAATGCAATAGGGATCTGTCTGCCAGCAGCCTCAACTGCAACCACACAGTAAGCTGCAAAGTGAAAGAAATGGAATCGATTAGATTTACTCATGTAAGTGTAGAAACAGTATGGGGAATGAGAAAACACAGAGGTCTTTAGGATCCAAATTCAGTCGCTCAAGAATTTGAAGCATAGTCTTTCTCGTGGAAGCACAAATATATCGATGTATATGTTTTATGATTGGATAATACAACTTTATTGTATTGCATGCTTTTCCAAAACTAGACAATCTTGTTTCATCCAAAACTAAATAATCTTGTATTGTATGCCATTTCGTCATCATATACAGAGGCGGTTGAAGTTTCAAGGCTCTAGAAACATCGGTACGTGACCAAGTATTCGAATATCATGTCTGCAATAGTTCTTTCGCATTAACTAACTCAAGAAACAAGTTCGAAAAATAAAAGCGAAATAAGTCTCCACAATCAGTTAATAAAACGATGTCCAAGTGGAATATTTAAAGAACTCGTTCAAGAATCGACCAAGGAATTTTCACGATCATGCTTTTAGATACATAAAATCTTTCAAAATGGAATGATAGTCATAGAACTGGATTCTCCATTAATGATCTCAACAGCGTATTACTAAACGATTCTTAAGACAGTAGTTTCCTACAACAACGCGTAAGCGTTTAACACAGCAGACAAGAATCGTATCGGAGGCAAATATCGATACAAAAACACACTAATACTGACGACAAGAATCAGAAAGAATCGCATAAACATACATACATAACAGTTGTTCAGATTTAGCAATAAACAATCAAGAGACGAAAGCCATGAAAACCGTATGAAAAAGGATGCAATCAAAGTAAGTATTGAAGAGGAGACGGAGAAAGTTACTGAATCCATTATCGACGAGATAGTTGAAGGTATGTCCATCGCAATTGTAAGTGAACTTGTTGTTGGTGGCGGGAAGCTTCTGGAGGCACTGCGAGGCTATAGTGGTGAAATTTCCGGTGAACTCCGTGTACTCTGCGAGAATCACAGTACCGCGCGCAACGAAGCTGTAGATCAAGGATTGCTGCCCCATGGAAGAAGATGAATCTTGCCCTAAATGAAACCAGAGGAGAGGGAAAGTGGATAGAATAAGAAGGCTTCGCTTCAATGGGAAGCTCGAAAAGTTGGCATGACTGCGTTCTGTGAGTTAGTTGTAGCTACCCTTGATCACATCGAAAATAACGGAAATGCCACGCTACATTTTTAAACAAAATTAACTTATAATTAACCATTTTTAGAAAAAAAAAATTAATTAAATTAAAAATGATTAGTATGACACTTTTAGTAATTTGAGATATTTAAAAATATTTTAAAACAAATTAATTAACAAAAATGCATTAAAATTAAAATACTTACAAGATATATTACTAAAAAGGTATTAATATATATTTATTGTTTTTCAAACAATATGATGACGTGGAAAGTTCGTTTAGACACGCAAAACGCGGCAAATATGATTTTCAACATTGGCCAATTAAGCGCACCGTTTTGACCGCTAACCAAATCTTGTGGCTTTATAATTAAAATTTAATTAATTTTTACATTTTAAAATTAAAATAGTTAATATATTGATTAGACAGGTGTGAATAATAATAATAATAATAATAATAATAAATAAATAAATAAATAAATAAAAGGTATATCACGTGGTAAATAAGATATGTTTTTAACTTGCCTCAATCGGTCCAAGTTGAGATTAATTAAGAATTTAATATAGAAATTAAATGTTATAAATGTAAAATTAGTCAATAGGCATATATGCAGATTTCAAAGTGGGGAAAGAATAAAGAGATTTAATATTAATATGATATGTGAATATTTATATGGCTGGAAAATTCATATTCTATATTATATGCTTTTTTTTTTTTTTTAATATTTGATTCTTTATTTCAAAATTAAAAATGCTCCTTTTTCTCCCTTTTCCCATCCGACAAAGGGAACTCGACTTACCTTTGTTTATTTTTTGTTTTTACTTTAAAAAATGGCCGACCATTTTTTAATATATATGATTTTTTATTTTTATTTTCCTTATAAATATATAAATAAAATGTTAATTATACTTTTTATGTAAGTCGTACATTCCAAAAGCATGGCATATGTTTGAATATTATATTTTTATTCAACTATGAAATTGGGGATATTTCAAAATTGGATTAAAAAAATTAAAATTATAATGTGGTGAGGTAATTTGCATTTCCACATTTAGCAATTATCAATTTAAACACATTTTTTTAGTTATTATTATGATAAATAAATAAACATATATATATATATATATATATATATATATATATATTGCAAATATAGCATGCATAATAGTATAGTTCGGGTTATATGTCACAACCCTATTATGAATAGAGTAGCTTGTGATGCTCACGTCGAGACAAATCAAAGTGGTGACCATTAAGTGACAACCATTTGGCTATGCGAAGACCAATATTAATAATGTCATGATACTGCACAGTTGAAAAAATACGCCCATGACACTGTGGACATGTTATCACGACCGCGTAATTTATTTTTTTTAAAGTATAATATTAAAATAATAAGAACAACACAAATTATTATCACTATATTAGAGAGAAAAAAAAATGGTAAATATGATATGTATTGTTATAAATTAATTTTTCAAAATTTATAACAAAGAAGTATATAATAAATTAATTAAAAAAAACATATATATATACAAGAAATTGTAAATGAAAAATAGGTTATGAGTTGAAAAAGACAATTGAGTGGATGATAATAGGACCACTGATGATCCAAAAGAGTGAAAAGGAGTTAATGGTAATTAACCATTGTTTGGTTCATTTCAGAATTTCAGCACCTTTCCATTTAATTCACACCCGCACGTCAAGTTAGCTTTGGTTCTCAGACAAATTTAATGTGCATCGAATTTCAAATCTTCTCTGTTTTTCGCTTAGCCCCTTTTTTCTTCTCCCCTTGTTTCATGGGTATTTGAACCCTTCAAACCTTTTTCAGAGGCCTAATTTTCTTCAGATCTTGCATGGCCACAGCAAGCAGTTCAAGTTCGCCAAATTCTTGTAGTTCTCGTAATTTAATTCCATCTCTTATTCTTCTCTTCGTATTTCTCACTGCCGCCTTGCTCGGCAGCCCTTCCATGGCTGCCTCGGAGTCGCAGACACGTCTAATTCCACATTCCTTGAACAATCCGCTGCGAAAACATAGGTTGGAGCCGGAATCTGGCGGTCGAAGACCGAGAGACGATCGTCGACTTGAATCTGCGGTTTTCGAGGTTACGAGCGGAACGAATCATGTTTTGAACAATCCGCCGCGGAAACAGAGGTCGGACTCGGAGTCCGGCGGGCGAGGGAGGAGAAACGATCGCGATTCCAACAGTCCGCCGCGGCAACAATCGTCGGAATCGAAATCCGGCGGCCAGCGGAGAGACGATAGTCGATTTGAATCTGCGGCGCACGAAGTTCCGAGCGGGCCGAATCCGATTTCGAACTAGTTGAAACATAGCTTCGTCAATCGGTGCGGTTTGAGCGGATATCTTGAAGTCTTTTCTCTCTGTAAATTAATGACGCTGGAGGTTTGGTGTTTGACTTGCGATGAATTTTCATCTTCCCGTAGATGCGGATTACCGACTGAGTTCGCCATTGAAGCTTCTCTCGTACACTGCTCTGCATCTCCATTTTTAATCTTCCGTTTTCCTTCTCCTCCCATGTTTTTGTGTGGTTTTTGTTTCGTAATTCATATATAAACATATACAGAGTCATATTCTCACAAATATTTATACTATAGATTGCGAGGAGAAGATTATCGTTAAACGAAAACATATTCTACAACTAATTTTTTCCTTACAGATTTGAAATACTTCTTGATCCAATATCTCGATTGATAAGATGTTTAAATATAGTTTTTGATCTTTTATTTAGATTTGTTCATCTCTCAAATATTTTTCTAAAGCTTTTAATGGAATTTGTTGATAAATTTTACTAAGCTCACATTTAGCATTTTGGTTCTTCACGTCTTGCTTTTTGTTTTACTCTGACCAGGTACAATGCTTTAACATTGTCCATTTCATTCCAGTTTTGATCATTATCTTTAAAACTTTATGCTAAATTAGAAGTCATAGATGTTTAATATTTTCGTTACAATTATAATATTTTAATTAATTGAGTTTAGTCGGATAAAATTGTCTGTGTTTGATTAGATAGTGCCCGGTGGTGGGGGAGATGAAAATTGTATTGGAAGATTTTCAGGTGCATGTGGTGCTGAAATCCGAGACGTCTGATTGGAATCAATGCTGATAGATGGAGGGTCCGGATTGGCAGGTGTGGTAGAGGTGTAAGATATGTCTGTACTGCGGCATGCAGCAGATTGAAGCAGTAATGGCCTTTTGTCTTTGGGCATTTGGCTTTTGCTTTGCTTTGCTTTGCTTTGTCCTCTCCTTCACCTTCACAACTAAAGCTAACGCTCAGTCTAGCGGTGACATAGATTACTCTTTCCTATTATTGGGTTCTCTCCATCTCTCCCTTCCCTCTCTCGACATTTTTAATGAATAGTTTCTATATTTCCGAGCTTACGAGAAAGTATCTAGTTAGCAAGAGTTAGCTCAAACTCGAGCTATAGAGAAAAATATTAGGTTAGAGAGAGTCGAGACCAAATTTGAAGTCCTGGTTAAGTGAAACTGGAGATATACAGCAAAGAACAGAGCATTCTCTATCTTCAGATGGACTTCCCCTACCACTACTCGACAAATTTGAATATCTACGTGACCAAATTTTCCTGTTCAATATCCTACTTATCTGACATGACATGAATCACCGAGCCTGCATTCAGGAATAGTAATCTTTGAAAAATGCATTCGGAGTTAATGATAGAGAAAGAAGTTTAAGACCACCTCATACTATAACCAACCTCATAAATTTTACATTAGAAGCTATATTTATTTTCGCCCCATAACTAAATACTTTTGTTGGTAAATAGCATATTTGATACAGTATTCATAATTTTTATATTTAATTATTTAAAACAAAATAGACTTACAATTATATTCTTAACCCAATTATTGTAGTCTGCGTGACTCTATAATGAAATTATTTTATGAAGTCAATAATAGAATTTGTTGTAACCAATTTAAATATAATTCATAATTCAAGAACGTATGTTTATACGTGAGGCATGAAAATTTGGAACTGGAGCCGGTAAAATACGATAATCTTGAGCTTAGTTGAGGAGTCTTTAAATATAATATAATTACCGCAGGAGCACATTTGGAAATTCGGAACGCCTTCCGCCAGAACACAACGGAATCCGAGTTCAATTCCCTAGCCAACAATGATCCATCATCATCTTCCTGTCATCTTCTTCTGCTTTCAATTCCCTAAAAGCCAATACAACTTGCAGCAGAAGGCAAAATTTTAGTTGGTTTTCGATGTTATTTCACATAGGATTCTTATCTTTTTGATTTGGCGCTGCGAAGAGTAGGAGCAGGTCCAGATCAAACTACGAAAAATGAGCTTGTCTTCTTGGTTTCGACGGAGACTTTTGAGGCAAATCGACCAGTTTACCGAAGGTTCGATTCCCTTGCGGAAATCCGATGGAGAGAAGGAAGAGCAATTCCATGGAGTCACAGACGGGTTGATCGAATTTGTCAAGTCCTTCACCATTGAAACCTTCAAGAACTTTCCTCTTCAAGGTATCTCGCTGTTCCTTCTCTATAACCTTCAATTCCAGTAGGTTTTTAAGTTCTGTTGGATTCTTGGAGGTTTTTTTTAACAGCTGAGGAGATTTCAGTTTTGATATCTTCGTTTTAGTTTATTGCTCGATTCGATCCTCAACTTGGATTTGTGTTCAGATGAAGGGGAAGCACTTTGTGGTGATCAAAATCTCTCGGATTGGCAGGAGCGACATGCCGTTCTTGTGCTGTCTAAAGTCAAGGTTCGTTTCTTGGTATTCATGTACAAATGATTTCGAACCTGTTCAAATAGAACCCTAATGTGGTTGGGCTATATAATTGTGAAGCCTATCAAAATTGAACTGTCAATTCTTTTCTCATTTTGAAGGAAATTTCCCAACTCAGATATAAGCTTTGCCCTGGACATTTGAAGGAACACCAATTCTGGAAAATATATTTTTCCCTTGTCAAGAGCCTTGTGGTTGAGTAAGTCCTATTGTTTCCATTTAATTCTGTTTAAAATGTGAGCTTTTCATTATACTATATGATCCAAGTAGTCGTTTTATGGTTCTCAAGGCATGCTTGTTCGCCCATGTGTGAAAGTTCACAGAGTTTCAATCTTTTTTTCCATTTTCTTGTAGAATCTTTTAGGTTTTAGGCTTAGTTTCTGTCGATCTTGTATGAAAATATAATTGCCTGCAACGACTCTCTGTGACATAAAAGATATTTGTTCTTGTGTAAATACTTGTTTGTAGTTTTTGAGCAGCTGATTCAGTACAATGTTTGGAAGTTTGTTCTGCATCACTAGAAGGTCATACCCCTTTTTGTTGCTTTTAAAAAAGGATATTATTTTAGAAAAAAGAGTTTGTCTTTTAAGATGTTTGGTTATTTAGTTATTAACTTTCTGTGAATGGTCGAGAAATCAGAGATGTGTTCATTAGTTTGTTCATAGGGCTCATTCCAATGTGCAAACACTTGTCTTGTTTACAGTTCCTCCAATTTAGGTTCAGAGCTATAGCTTGAACTTGTTTGTGCATCAACAGAAGTCGTACCGCTACCTCCCTCCCCTATCTATCGCACATCATGTATGTATAGCCATGTCAGAGGAAGGAGAGGACATCCAGAGTTAGTTTAACTACAATACAAGGAGAATAAGTATGCCTCGTGAGTAAAGTTGTTATTGTTGGACCTATTGGGTCCATGAGGGGAGCAAGTAGAATGTTGGACCATGTTTTGTAAATCTTGTAGTTATGGAATGAGATAGCATGCATAAAAGATACAACGAGTACGAAGTCAAAGCCACATTCCTCTTAAAAGCATGTTTTTATTTTGTATTTGGTTTCTTTTTTCCTGTTCCATTCTACTTGATCCAATTTAACTAGTATCATAGCTTCATCTTGGATCATGCCCAAAGGGAGAAGAAATGGACACCAAAGTGCATATGGTGGAATCGAGATTGGGGGTAACTCAGGAATAGGTAAATAGGATTTGAATGTTAGAGTAGAGTTCATTGGAGGAGATTTATCAAATTTTGCACTAGAAGAAATTGGTGCGGGCAACATGAAAGCCTTGGTGTTTAATGACGGAAAGGAAGGCACGAGATTTAGCTAGGGGGTGATTTCGAAGGTGGGAAGATTATTAAGCTACTAGTGTGATGGTGGGAAAATCTGGTGAGGTTCATTGAGATTTCGATCATGTGGAATTGATGAGGGTGGATTTACTTCCATTTTTGTTTTCCTGGGACGGATATTAATGATTGGATATTTTGGGCATCCTGCAGCCATGAACATAAACAGAGGAACTATAAATAATTTTGGTGGTGATACGAAAAATGCTGATGGACTTTGTAGCAAGTTTGAAGTCTGCCAATAGGAGTACCAGGTCTCTTGTGAGTTTTCAACTACCCTAACCTTCTCTCAATCGGAAAATGGAACAGTCCTTGGTCTCTGAAAGGTATGAAAAGCTGGCTTTATGGAAATATGGTCCTTTCCAAAGTACTGAATGCATAGTGAAGGGAGGGTTACTTAGTCACCAACCCACCTCATCTTGTTTTTAGTTTAAAGCTGGCCAAAGTGATCCCAGCCCATTACCATCACAGCTAGCTCTACATTAGATCAATACTTTAATTCCGGAGTCAGTTCTAGGAGACAGGTTAGAAGTTCTCATCCAATTTCTGGATCAGTCACTTGAGGATGTAACCTGGGAACCTCATGAACTAGTACAGAATCAGAGTAGAAAGCCATCCACCTTCAAGACAAGGGGATAATTTGAACATGAGTATTGATAGGAAGTCAGCCCTCCATATGCATTACCTAAACTAGCAGGAAAATCTTCGACCAGCTAGTTTGTTTTTGTTGGGCATATTGGTTTCTATGAGAGGCTGAGTTTGGGACCATGTTTTGTGTTTCTGTTTGTAATGGAATTGGGTAGTATGAGCTACGGGGAATATGCGTCAAGGATACGGTGTAGAATAGGATGCAAATTAACTATGGAACTTTCAAGGAAGCCACAAGCCTCTCAAATGTCTCTTTTTTCCCTTTTCCTTGTGCAATAGACTCTTCCTTTTACCTTGAATTCTACCAGCATGTGTCGAGGAGAGCAAGCTGAGTTTGCGACCATGTTTTATAATTCACTTTTTTGATGCTTTAAAGATTCTAACTTTGCAAGGACCGCTTCCAATTATTGCTAATGCTACACACAGATTTCTGTTGTGTAATTTGTCAGGTAATTTAGCTCAACGGTTTCATAACGGATTACGCTGAAAGCTTGGTAGTTCTATTTACTCTTCATGTACTGCCATTACTAGAACTTTGTGATGTTAAAACCGCAAGACAAAAAATTTCGAACAATTACATCGAATCTGTTTCCCTAAAACTTTTTGTTCGTTTAATCTTTATATTTGATGTTTCTGGTGTGCATAATATAGGCGAACATCTCGTAAATAGTCTAATTTCTCCAGTCACACCTGCACTTATTTTCTTCTTCCTCTGGAATTTCCGAAGATACTGTCTTAAATTGCTCTCTACTTCTTTGCGCATTTAGCACAGAATTCAAGCTTTTGTTTGTATTGGCAGATATGAACTGCGTGCAATTCAACTTGATAAACTTAGGAGGATGGCTTTAGGGAATGAGGGATCTTCCAACTGCACTTCATCATATGAAGTTGAAATGGCAGAGACGAATACTGCATCACATTTAGCTCCTGTAGGGCCACTAACTCCATAAAACCAAAGCCTGCATTTTGGTATTTCAGGCTTAACAAGTTTAACCGTTGCCCATATTCATGATCTGATTTACTAGCTGATGAAATATTGAACATGGTTTGATGCTTCCTTCTGAATCAACCCAAAAGTATCTTTAGAATTCCAACTGCGGCTGTACAAACCCAAGTTACAATAGAGACAAGAAAATTGTGATTGCATGACTTTAATACAGATTTCCAAGAACATTTATATGTGATTGCATGAGTTTAATATAGTTTTACAAGAGTACTTATATGTGATTGCTACACATTCTGAGAATCTGTTGAAGTTTTGTTGTGTTATCCGGGGACTTGGAGCATTTAATGTGCAACGAAAATGACAATTCCTTGCGTTGAACAGAATTGTACTAAGCGTAGAATGCAGAGCCGTGCAATGACCCACGTGAAACTGCTAAGCATTGCATCGAAGTAAGTGCATGGGGGGGACAAGTTTATATATAGTATTTGCATTTACATAATATATTATTTCATTTCATCTATCATTTCCTCTCTGCAAAGCTCCTCAGAATTTCTTCCAAATGAAGCCAATTAAGTGGCTTAAGAACCAGAAAGAGAAATCATGTTTTAGTTTCAGATAGGTTATGATTTATGAAGATGACGGGTGGTGAAGAAACTTCATTTATTTTACTAATTTCAAAGACAAACTAACCCAGATATGGACAACTGGAACAGTTAAGATAACATTACAAATGACGACGAGAGACGCTTTTATGTACTATCCACCATTCTTCCAAATGTCTCTTCTAACTAAATATGGATTATAAGCTGGCCGGTTGGTATGAGATATGCCCCAACTTTGTGTTTGCTATAGAGAGCTAAACTCATCCTGTGATCCCAAAATGTGCTTCAGAGAGACGAGACACTTGAGAATCGAGATCACAGCTAACTTTGGGAACCACTTGCACCCATTCATATCGTCCTTGGAGAGGCATTTCACTTGCAAAGTCGAAGTTATACCTGCAGAAACCCACACTCTAACCATAACTTGATAGTCACTTTCTAATCCAAGTATACATCACAAATAAATTCAGTGGCTTACTTCTGAATAAACGTTGTTTGATGCCATAGCTCTTCTTGAGCAAAGAACTCCTCTATGTCATTTGCAGTAGGGGTACTTTTAAGCAACTCCATCTCTACTCCTGAGTTGGTTGTATGTGAATTTGTCTCCGTCCGGGTCGAGTATGATGTTTCGTTGGTGCTTAAATCTCTAACCAAGCTGCTACGTATTTTTTCTGCAGTTCCCCTACACAAGCATACCCTCAAATCATTGTACTTCAGAAGAGCTACAAAATACTCACAAGGTACCAACTTGTAAAGGAAAAAAAGAACCCTTCTTAGCTCAATCAACTCAATTAAGTAGTTCATGAGATTGCCTTTAAAAATACACTAATTGAACTCGGTTATTCTTTGTGTGTTATCAAACAATGTCTACTTAATCTAAAGAAAAACCAAAATTGAGAAAAGAACACACTACAGGGCATCGAATATCTTAAGGAATATGCCAGGTCTAATGGGACAAACTCTAATTTGGCTGGTAGTTAAAATATGGCATGAAATAGATCTATAAGTTATAACTTCTTGTCACCTACACGTTTCAAAAATCAAAATACGCTCAGGCCCAAAAATGACGACATATGCTGCAACTTTGTGGAAAGCTAATAACTATTGCAATCAGTATTCCCATAGGTAACTACCAACTTTATTTAATTCTTTCAATTTATTGCCATAAAAGAAAAGTCGCATTAAATTAATGCAAGCAGAACTCCATTTTGCCTCTTGAGTTTCAGCCCAAAAGCTGAGGTAGAAACCAGAAAATTGAACCATTAAGTCAGCAAGAAGAATAATAGTAATAAAGTTGTTCGTGGCCAAGAAAAATTCAGGGATCTTATTATATAATGTAAAGTAAACTAAATGGAATTAGCTCGTGATCAATAACGAACATATAAATAATAAAAAAAATTTGTGACCCTCTACCTAAAATTTAATAACCTACCAATCATCTAACCAAATTTGTAACGTGTAATAACAAATAATTTTACCGCGAGATTAATCGAGGTGTTCAAGCTGACTCGAACACTGACAAATATTTTTTTTTTAAAAAAACCAGCCTATCCACTGAATATACCAACGAAACTCTTAAAAAGTCACATCTTACAGCATAACTAGCCTATCATGAAAGATACACTACAGCAACATATGGTAACAATGGAACGACAGGATGCGAAGTGGAAAGTGAAGTCACATATAGGGAAAAAGAACAGTACGAGAATAGTGATAGTCAAACAAGCAACCATGGCCACAGAGTGAGCCCATCCAGTTTAGTAGAAACCAATGCATCAATCCTATGAGCAAATAAATTGCCAAAGACATGTAAATAACAAAAGTTTTAACTAGTAACGAAGATCGCGACGAAATCGAGATTTGTCGGCAGTACGATAGCAATCAAAAAACAAAGGAAGAAATCACAACCATTTTAAGCCATCACAAGCTAAAATTGAAGTCAAACAATAACAATTCCAGAAAAGCTTTCGAAACCGTACCTATTTTCACCTCCAAAGTTCAGGCAGTTCTCGCCAAAATAATCCTCGAAATCCCTAGCATTTCCACTCCCTGTTTCCACAAGAAGCTTCCTCTTCTCCGAACCCGAGTCCGCCAAATCCCGCTTCAACCGATAATCAGTTGAGGAACACTCACGACTCAAGCCATCTTCGCAACACTCGCCGTCCTGCTGCGCCTTATACAGCTGCCGGAATACCGGAGGCTTTTCAAGTCGACGGTTGCGCAGCTGCAAGTAAGAAGAGGAAGATGCCGCCGCTCTAGGGCTCGAAACAGCGGCGGATTGAGAGAATGATTTGTTGAGGCGCTGTAGGGCACGGGTTTTAGCAGCTCTAGTACGGAGTCCTGGAGAGGACTGTGGTGAGACCTCCATGACTGCAATGCCGCCTGTAAGCTTCGATTTCTTCATGTACTTTCCCATAAATCAATGTGTGTGTGAGACTGAGAATAGGGTTTTCTGGGTTTTCTTCGTTTCGTTCTGATGGAACAGAGGAGAGAGAGAGAGAGAAGGCGCGAAGCTGCAAATGGAAGAAGAGAGAGAAAGAGAGGGAAGTTTGTAGGAAAAGGACGAGAGAGAGAGAAACAGAGCGCGGGAGAAGTAAATAGGAAAAGTTAGGGTTGGGGATTGGGGGAACAGTTCACCTTATTTATATATTTCTTTTTTTTTTTAAAACAAAAACAAAATCAATCTTTAAATATTAAAAATAATATTAAAACTTTTTAATTTTATAAAAAAAAATTATTATAATAAATTACAAAATTATTTTTTTACATGAGTATTTTTATTAATTTAATTTTTCTTTTTTTTTTGTTCCATTTATAACATGTTCATAGACTTTCTCCTCCATTTCTCCATTTTTTTTTTCCCGATCACTCTGCGATTCTTTCTTCTTCATGATCTGTTGAAGTTTCTTTGTTTCTATGTTACGGGATTTGATTGATGCATTTGTCTATCTCTATTCATTCTTTGTTCCACAGCCAAATTTGACATTTGGGCTTAGTGAAATTGTGTTTAGATATTGGAAGTAGGAATTTGGTGTCTCTAAACTGTGTTTGAACTCTCTAAGAACGTTACAGTTGAGCATGAGATTTGCCATTTTCATACTTCTTGTTGGTTGCTCTGTTTTTAGATTATTAGAGGGTTGCAGATGAAGTGTTCGATCTTAATACGCAATGAAATAAACTTGTGTTTCATTCTAAATTTCTGATCCTTTACTTGGATTGCTTTGAACAGACTTCTTGGCTTCTGAAAATTTTCCTTTTGCAAGATGGCTGAGGTATGACTTGGTTTTAGTTTCACTCCGAATTTCGGTTTGAAATATTGCCGTCTTTCTTTTGCATGTCTGGTTCTGGCTTAAGCTCATCTGTCATTGCTCTCTTAAATTGATTTGACATGTAATGAATTAGTGATATTTAGTTTGATTGTGGTTGACCTTAGCTGTGGCTTGGCTCGACAATGAAACCGATTGAAGGCATATGGTGTGTTGAGATTATGATGATATGATATGATATCTTGTGCTGTTTTACCATTGGCTTTGTTTAGATATACTTTGATTAGCTGACCTTATGAATCAAAATTAAGAAGTCTCTTTTATAATAAGTTTGGGTAGTATAAATTGTGCTTCTGTTATGATATCTTTGTATAGTCCTTTTTTTCCCTTAACTTGAACCGGTGTTAGGACAATGAGCTCTTCTTACTTCTATACTGGTATGATGTTCTCTTTATTGACTTAATAGCACATGAATTTGTTTCCAATTTTTGTTTGAAAAGTTTGCGTGATATTTCTGATTGTTAAATGATATCTGATATATATATATAGATCTTGATAATTCTCAGCTCTTTTGAGACATTGAACCTCCCCTTCATTAGTCATCTATATATCAATTCTCTCCCAATTGAGAGTCAGCTTTTTCTTACGTTACTTCCACTCCTTCGTACTCAAATTCTTTTTAGACGAAAGTGAGTTCAAGTTATGGTTGCTATCTATATAAGACTTGATTTAATATCTGACGAGTTACTTGGACTACTAAATGTTGTAGGGTCAGATAGTTATCTTGGGAGAATCGTTGAGGTGCACACAAATTGGTCCAAACATTCACAAATACTAAAAAAAAAAAGTATCCTGAAACTTAAAAGTCTAAGTTCACTGCTAGTAGATATTGTCTTATTTGAGCTTTTCCTTTTGGGCTTCCCCTCAAGGTTTTAAAACGCGATGCTAGGAAAAGGTTTCCACACTCTTCTAATGAATGTTTTGTTCCCCTCTCCATCCGATATGGGATCCCACAATCCACCCTCTTCGAGGCTCAACGTCCTTGCTGGCACACTACCCGGTGTCCATCCCCTTCGAAGCTCAATGTCCTTGTTGACACACCGTCCGACGTCTCGCTTTGATTCCATTTGTGGGATAATTCACACGAAATATTTCTTGGTTGCACAATGCTCCTCTATTAAACAAATTTCTCTTCAAATAATATGGAACTTACCATTTATTTAGAAACTCTCCATGACATTGTCCACTTTAGTTCATGTTTTTGCTATATGATTCTATGATCCATATAATGGATAATCACTGGCATTGTAGTGTCTGACAATGGATAGAGTATTGTGGCAGTGGAATCCATCATGGTTTTTCTGGATATACACCCTTTGCTCACCAATCCATGACATTGATTTTGGCA